GGTTTAGGGTTTAGAGTTTAGGCAGCATTCACCGCTCCCAGTTCGTTTTAGTGTGTTTACACTGCGTTCTTATAGACGTCAAGAACCCTTCTTCATGCAATCCTCCCGAGTTTGAAATGTACCGGGCTGTAGAACGGTTCAGCAATGCTCATAAACTGTGGGGCATATTGCCCTAAACTCTAATCCCTAAGCCCTAAACCCTAAGCCCTAAACCCTAAACCCTAAACCCTAAACCCTTAACCTTTCTGGTCTGTTGTTTGATGTTTCAGGTGTGGGCCTGAACAAGAGTATAGGGCTACAGCCACGCGCGCACACACACGCACAATCGTTGTTGTTGTTGGTTGAGGGTTTAGGGTTTAGGGTATACTATTTCGGAATTCTACTACTTGTGTTAAAGGTCATGATGAACATCACTGCTGTTATCCGTGCGGGGTGCCGGGGGCTAGACTATCTGTGTGCATATGTTTTTGGGACAACTGGATAGCCACATTGATCGACTCCGTTATATGATCTACCTAAAAAACGTGCTGTTCCACGCAGTGCAAGCAAGCACCTAATTCCAGAACCATAGGCCTCAAAACTTGAAACTTAAGGCAATTGAAACTACTCGTAAACAAGAACCGCTTAGGCCCAATAAGGGAAATGTAAACTGTCGCAAGCTACAAAATGTCGTGAAATGTCCCAAGGCCGACCTATTCAAAGATATTTCAAGCCTGAGGCCCTAAACATGACACATAAAGCTCTTCAACCCAGGACCGTCGGAACCCTAAACCCTAAACGCCACAGACTCCAAATCGTACGCCATGTAAACCCTGTTCATACACCTCAGTCAAATATCCTCAAATAGCATTTTCTCTAACCCCCTCTAAACCCTACCCTAAACCCTAAACCCTAAACCCTAAGCCCCAAAACGCTTGAATAATCAGCCCTAAACACTAAACCCTAAACCCCATACCCTAAACCCCGAATATATCGCGGCAGAGACTCGGGCTTAGGTACCCGACGTGCCCACGCTGATGAGCCCCTCTGAGCTGCATCTTTGCTGTACTTGGGATATGGGTTTAGGGTTTAGGGTTTAGGGCTTTAGGGCTTTAGGGTTTTCGGGTTTAGGGGTTTGGGGCTCTAGGGTTTTAGGGTGTTTAGGGCTTCTGGGTTAGAGGCTTGGGGCTGTAGGTTCCAAGGCTTCGGGACTCTATAGGGTTGCACGTGGTTTAGGGCTTCACTGTTTCGGGCCGGTTCTGATTCAACGGCTGCTTGACATTGTTGTTTTTGTTCAAGCCTAGGGCTTGGGGTGTAGGTCTACCCTAAACCCTAAACCCAATAGCAACATCTGATGTTACTTTATGGGCACAAAAGCTCGTCGAAATCCAATCTCCAAAGCTCGCAGCAAAATTTCCAAACCGAAGCCCCAGAAACCGTAAGGCCTACAACTGCCCGTACTAAATGATTACCCATATTATCCGTAGGGTTCCTTATTATAGTTATAGTATAGTATACTCCGAAACCCAATTCTAATTATTGCGGCCCCGACGACACATGACATGAAAGGAAGTCTTCAGTGCGCAAATCGCTGAACACTCGCTCCGACCAGACCTACGGCGGCGGCGACGGAGCAAGTTGGCTGGGTGTTAGTTAGTTAGGTAGCCAAGTATTTCCATAAATACTACCACTATGGATTTGGGTCACAAAGGACCATCCTTACTGTGGTTTTTGGTTTGTGGGGACTAGTTCCACAATAGTAGTATACCTGAACCCTCTTGTTTAGTTAAGATTTGAAATTTAGGGGGTAGCGAATTAGAGGTTTCTTTGTCTGCTGGAGGCCTTTCGATATAAGGGTATCCTAAACCCCAAACCCCAAACCCTAAACTCAAAACCCTAAACCCTAAACCCAAAACCCACCCAAAACCCTAAACCCTAAACCCCAAACCCCAAACCCTAAACCCAAAACCCAAAGGGATGAAGCTTTCATCGATTCGGCCTTTCTGGGTCTGGGGGGTTCCAGGGCGTGAGAGATTTCAGCGCTGTGGTGGAGATCCGTTAGGGTTTAGGGTTTAGGGTTTAGGGTAGGGTATAGGACTAGGAGTTAAATTGTGGACTTCTAAACCCAAAGCCCTAAAACCCTGAAGTTTGGGAGCAGGCAGACTTCACCGGACAAATTACCCGGTTGTGGGAACGTGAGTAGAAGGCTTTTCTGTAGAATAAGGGTTGTGGTGTAGGGTTTAAAACACCGCTTCCATGAACCAAACATGTATTTATTAGCTGCCCCAAATCCTTCAAATCGGAAATTCTCGAAGCTCCACATTAATAAGCGTTTATACGATAACCGTAAACCCTAAACCCTAAACCCTTTAGGGTTCAGGATTCAGGGTGCCTTTGGGCATGTCGTGGGGAGGGATTTCAACAGAGGACCGGCCCTGGAGACTTTTCGTTGTTGGAGATTTTGTCCAGAGACTCGGGAACTCCTTTTAATTATCATTTTAGGGTTTAGGGTTTAGGGTTTAGGGTTTAGGGTTTAAATAATTACCAGTACTACTTTGGGGGTTCCTTAGTATACTTATAGTATAATGTACCCCTCTATTCTAATGATTAAGGCCCCTATATTTCTCCAGAACTCCTTAATTATTCCAAAAATCCGTAAGTAAGGAAGAAACCTTAAGCCATAATAGGAGCCTGATATGACTTCAGGTATATTCCTTTACTATGTGGGTGTGGAGTCTCTCGGTGTGTTGCTGCCAATCGTATCGTCAGGTTCTCATGTTTCCTACAGGTTTAGGGTTTGGGGATTAGGGTTTAGGGTGCGGCTCCAAGCTTGCACGATTTGGTTTCAGGGTTGCAGAGTTTTAGTTTGGGGTGTGGTTTTACGGTTTTGGTTGTAGGGCTTGAGAACGGGTTCAGGTTTTTCGCTCTCGTGGGGCTGACATGGAAGACCAGAAGAAGGCAGACAAAGGCAAGGGATTGGATCGCAAAGCGAAAATCACAGTCTTCTGCGTTATGGGCAAGACGGTGCATAAATGGACTACAACTTTGGAGCGCGATGCTACGGTGACAAAAATGGCTGCTGCCATTGAGATGCGTATGGGAGTGAAGAAAGATGACCAGCGCCTTTCCATTGAGAACCATCCCGAGATAGTCGTGAACAGTCCGAAGAATGCCTTTTGTACCTGCGGCATCCGCGACATCATCATCATCATCACGTACACGAGGGCGGTGGGATTGAAGTATCACACCTAATTTTGTCTGCTGCTTCATCGACCTTTTCAAGGAAAATCACACTAACAGGATAATGAACCCTCTACACCACAAACCCTAAACCCTGTAAACTCCTTGAGGAAAGCCTGCAGAGACTCAGGTAAGAGGCCTGAGGTCCTTGGGCAATCGGGACCTCACCTACAAGCTTGCCTTCTTCGGCACCTACCTCGAGGAGGCGGGTTTAGGGTTTAGGGTTTAGGGTTTACAAAACAAGCCACCCTAAACCCTAAGCTGTTTAGGGCTTACCCTAAGGCTCAACATATCCCAAAAGGCTTTGAAAGTATGATCTTTGGGCCCAGAAGCTTCAAATCTGAGTCCTTAGAGAGCCTTACATAGGGTTATAGGTTGGATTAGTATCGAACCCTAAACGGTGTAATTAGGGTCTAAGCCCTAGGCTTCGGAAGGTTTGGATCCCGGGTTTCTTGAACGGGTTCTTGAATGGTTCCTTAAAGGGTTCCTTGAAATCTCCCAGACTTGCTTAGGGGGTTTGGGGCCGCGAGGGTTGGGGCAGGACAGCTTCAACCAACCCTCACATTCGGAATCCTGATCCCTAAACCCTAAACCCTAAACCGTTTCCCTAAACCCTAAACCCTAAACCGACCCTTAACCCTAAAACCGAAACCCTAAACCCTAAACTAAGCCCTGAAGTAATCGGAGAAGCCGCAATATAGGGGCCTAAGTAATGACCTATATATATTTGTTTGGAGGGGGTTCTTACTATAAGTGTAGTATAGTATACCACAAAACCCTATTCATAATTATTAAGGCCCCTATATTAAGCCATTGTAGTTCGTTTTGGGGGTTACCTTATAGGATCCTTAATATGAAATTGGTCAAACAAAGAAAAAGGGAACTACAATGGAGACTACAGGTATATATAATTTGACCGAAACCGCACTTTAAGTCAATACGCCTAATTCTGGAGGGGCAGTGGGGGCCGTACCCAAATCCGACCACTTCAACCCCATACGTGTTGCAAGCCCTACTTTCAGGAAGCCCGAAACCCTAAACCCAAGCCCTAAGCCTGAACCCTAAACCGGCCCAAAACCTTTAAGACCTCAACCCCATAAACCCTAAACCCTAAACCCTAAACCCTAAACCCCTGAAACCTTTAAACACCTAAACCCGCAAAGCCTTGCAAGCACAACCCCCAAGCCTCAAAACCCTTCAACCGTCTGAACGCCAGGGCATTTGTCTACTGCTGGGTTGGAGTGGGCTCAGACAAACAAACTCACCGTACATCCTCGCCCCCTAGACTGACAGCACCCCAAAAACAGGGTTTAGGGTTTTTGGGGTTAGGGTTTAGGGTTTAGGGGTCCAGTGTTTAGGGTTTAGGTAGGGCTTTAGGGGTTTAGGAGCGCCCAACTTCAACGCAAGGACAACGAGTGGAAGGGCCGTGGTGCGAAAGAGAAGGCCGTGAACATCCGCTCCGAGGAGAGCCTGCTGCTTTCAGGTTCTTAGAGCTTAGGGGATTAGGTCTTGGGACCTCGTCTTTGGGGTTTAGGGCTTGGGGTGTCAGGTTTAGGGGTTTCGGGGGTTAGGGTTTAGGGTTTAGGGTTTAGGCTAAATCAGCGGTTTAGGGGTTAGGGTTTGGGGTTTCGTGTTTGGGGGTTTAGGGTGGAAAGGTTTAGGTGTGTAAGGTTCAGGATTTAATTAAAGTTGTATCGGATCTTTATTTCTGGTTTCTATAAGGGTAGTTCCCTAAATTAGGTCCTTTTTAGGGTCCTTTCCGTAAAGGTGCCGTACTAGTTTGAGGTTCCCAATTTAGAGAACCACCCATAAGTTTTCTTACTACAAGGGCTGTGAGGGTTTGGGGGGGGGGGGGGGGG